TCTTTTTTCTTATGTTGTTTGTTTAACACGCTTCATTTTCCCAGGAATCGTTTCTGGCGTTAGCTGCTTGCTGAGCATTTCTGTTACCCATTTTTAAATTTTGTAAATGCACAGGTTTTTTTTTTTGATGTACAAGGACTTCGTGCCAATAATACAAGACACCACCGGTGGGTTAGTCCATTGGCTGATCCGTTGCAATAGCAATTTCGGTACTAACATGTGGCAAAAAAAGTCAAACCCGCCATCAGCTTACTTCTGAAACTTCTTGAAATAAAAAAAAAAAAAAAAAATGGCTATGATTGCTGTCTGTACTTACTGTCACTTGGGCTTTTTGCCGAATGTTTCCGCCTCTCTTAAAGAACCAGTATGCAGGGGGTTTTGACTTTTCATCATATGTGTGTAGAAGAGAATTGGTGTGCATCGTTTTTGTCTGGTGGTTGAATAACAATAGATTGTAATAATTTTGCTCTGCATAATGCATACCATTGGCTGTCCTTTATCAGAAATATTTTAGTGTTGCTCGCTTTCCTGTTCGTTTATGTTTCAGGTTAGCCTGTAGCACATGTGGGGCTTGCTATCGCCTGGGTGCCTCCACAGTGTTGTTTGGCCCGGTCAACCCGGTTTAGGACCCTGTGGGTAGCCATCAGTAGTTCAACACTGTCTCATTTTCCGCAAATCACATTTTCTGTTTGGTTTCTCTTTCGGCACTCTTCCTCGGTATTTTCACTGGTAGAGGTGTTGCGGTCACGGATTGGATGGAGGTGAATTTATACAGCGAGCCCTCCGCCCCGCAGTAAAAGAAGTGGACAGTGATGTGTTTATCCTGATCCCATCAAATATTCAAAAATCTCCGGTCCTGGCCGGGGCTGGATGTGGCACTTCCATTATAAAATGAGTTACTCCTCCATTTCTTCGAATTCTTCATTTTCGGACAATTGGTGCGTTGTTGCGTGTCATCAGAAAAGGAGGCAAATTTAGGAGATTCAGCCTTTCGCCCCATCCGTGTTTGAGTCGGATGATCAGGCATATTTGTGTGTGTTGTCCCTACCTGTATTTCGTGGTAGTCGTGAGCTGCGGCGAATCGCTTCATATTCTGTCTTTGCCTCGCTTCCTCAAGTTGCTGCCCTTCGTAGATCTGATCGTTCTCTGAAACATTTTGACGTACCAGCATTGAACTGACAGTCATTTTTGAAGCGTTGAACTCGGAATTTTTGAGAATATTTGCATTGTTTGGACGCTTCCTGCCCTACGGGATGTTCAGAATGTTGCTGCAAATTTCGAGCAAAATTCGTTGCGTGAAGAAATCGTCTGTTGGAAGACAGGATTCGGACTGTTTGTAGTGTTTATGCATTGCACAGCAACTAGTCATTTCATCATTTCGCCAAGAACTACACACTTGCACCGATAGGTTTCTCTCGTCCCACTGTACAACCACTGTTTTATGCAATTTACTTGAAGTTGTTGCTGTGCTGGCGCTGCTCCCTGGCATCTTTTTCTGTTCCATCTCACTGCGTGACCCTTACGAATCCTTCAACAGACAGGAAACGGGAGATAGTTTTTTTTTTTTTTTTTTTAGTACAGTTTACGATGGATTATCCGATTATCTGGTCTTGAAGAGACGCCCGACGCATCCCTTCACGTCCGTGTTCTTACGTCCCGGCCAATACGGTTTCTTCTGACTCAGTCTGCGCCAGTCATTGGCTGTTCCGGGCTCAGTTGCCCATATTCTGATAGCTGTAGACTTCGTCGAAGTTTCGATTGTGTGGTAACTGACGTGACTTCTGCTTCCTCTCACATTTCTTCATGTTCTCTTTTTTGCTGAAAGAGGGAATAGTTCCTCTGATTGAGTGCTTGACCGGCGTTGACACGTAGGGCCACGCGAAATTTCACTGTGAAATAAACGCGGGTCTAAACTCACGCAACTGAGCAGTGAACAGTTTCAGTGGGGATATAGCTGTTGTTTACGATAGGATGCAGCGCAGCGAAACGGCAAGTGAGAATGGCTCAGGCTCCGGAGATGATGCAGATTACAGCTTCTGTGAGTTTCGTTTGTTCTTATTTTCACATGCACCAGAGCCTCCCCCCCCCCCCCCTTTTTTTTTTTTTTTTTTTTTT